TTACGCAGTGATTTCTTTGAATAGTGTAGGCTTCCCATGTTTCGGCACTCGGTGACTCCTTGTTAATCGAATTAGTCGAGACTCACCATAGTGTAAGGAGTTTGAGTGTCGTGCGATACGTCTCCACGCAGTGGGTTCAATGCGCATACTGATGGCACTACAGATGAAATCCCACTGACTACGATCGTCTATCAATTTACCCTTTATTGTGTTGGATTTGGATTCAGGAACGGTAGTGCACACAAGGCACCATGATTCCGCCTTATGGCTCATGATTTAAGAGCACTAGGTTCTTTTGTTTTGTTTTTTTGTAGATTTGCAGATCGCGCTGGTGATAGCGATCCATGTTGAGGCGAGATTTTGCCTTCTCCGGTAATTGGAGTCACAGGTGTCTTTGGCGGTGTTTTCTTAGAAGCAACCGCTGCGTAGGATGTCCAGTTATTCTATACCGTGGGATTGCAGGAGTGTTGTGTTTCCAATATGTCGACTGAATTACTAGTTATCACACCCTTGGAGAAAGTTGAAGCAAGTGGGTTGTAAATGACTTTTTTACTTAGTGGAGACATGTGGCTAGGGGCCGCTGCAGACTGAGTCGCAGTGGTGAGGTTGGGACGCCTGGCCCTCTTTTTCGGCCTAAACGGGGGGTTTGTAGATGTACGTTCAGATGCAAGTGTAGCATTGTTTACTTTCACAGATACTTTGCTGGCGTTCACCAGTAGCTCAACTGTTTCCGCCAACTTTTCACAAATTTTCATTAAGGAAAATTACACAACTAACAACAGGGATGGATTTGCACATCTGGCAGAACCAAAATGCTTCGGTTTTGCTGCTGTATTGTCTAGTTTCAAGTGCACTCATCCCCAAACACTTCGAATGGTACGCTTTCTGACGGTTAAAGCAAACTAGACCAGACTTAGCTGTTTTTAAACATGTCACAATTGATTTTCGAATGGATCATATCCACTTGGGGCGTGCAATTTGTTATTGTGACTTGCACCAATTCACATGGAAGTTGAGATACTCCGCCAGCAGTGGATGCAACGCCTGACTGGAAACACTCAGGCCATCCTTGAAATGGCAGGCGACTTGTCAATCACAGCAATTGCAGATCTAGCAGACCGCGTCGTCGAACGGCAACAGCCAGGGACTGAAACCAAGGCACGTAAGCAGCTTTGTGCTGGCGAAACCACAGTGACACCCACGACTAGCGAGCCGTGGGAAATAGATGCCTTATCATCGCAAACAGGATCGCTTCAACGCCAGATCAAGAAGCTCAGTTTAAACCATAAGCACCGCAGCCGTTCTGGACCATCGCCTCGTCGCACAAAGCCGAATACCCCACTCGCGTTTCGGTAATAAAGCCTGTAAGTCCGTACAGCCATATAACTACTCCGTTACAGGTGATCCACCAATCCGTCTCGTAGTGGCCACGAAGGATGTCGGTAAAACTCAATGCCGTCTCATCTACGTTAGGGGTATGATTTCGAGACCCAGTTCTTAGTTGATACTGGGGCAGAAGTCAGCGTCATCCCCCGTATGCCAGGTGAGCCTACCGCTTCTTTGCCGAACAGACTAAATGCCGCCAAAAGCCACCTACGGTCATCGGTCGCCTACCTTAAACCTAGGTCTTCGGCGCACCTTCTGCTAGTTATTCACCGTTGCTGCAGTCCCCTTTGCCATCATCGGCATTGACTTTCTCAGACATCTCGACTCCTTGGTCGATGCGAAACGCCAGATGCTAGTTGACACTGCAACGAAACGCAGTGTACGTGACATCACTGCCGATGTCTTATCTATCACCTCGGTCCACGTCTTTCTCCAGACATCGCCAGATTACGCGAACTATTTCACCCAGTACCCAAAGCTCCCTCAGCCAATAAACACAGCCCTGCTCGTGGCATCCTAAGTCACGCACCACATACGGACGAGGAACCACCCGTCTCATGCGTCCACTCCGACTATCACCCGAGAAACTTAAGGTAGCCAGGGCGGAGTTTGAGTACATGCTCGAACTTAGAATAATCCGCCATTCGGACATCATGTGGTCCTCTCTCCTGTAGATGCTCTCCAAGAAATTTGGTGACTGGCGTTCTTGCGGTGACTAACGCGCACTTCACAGGTTAACCATCCCAGATAGGTATCCTATCCCTTACTTGCAGGATCTTACCGCATGCCTCACAAGTAAGACGATCTTCAGCAAGATCGATCTGGTTCGCGTCTATCATCAGATACCTGGAGAAGAAAATGACATTTCTAAGACAGCTGTTATCACACTTTTCGGTTTGTTTGAATTACTAAGAATGCCATTTAGAATGTGCAACACCGCACAAATGTTCCCACGCTTTACACCTGCTGTCACTAGTGGCCTAGACTTCGCTTATTCCTACCACGATAATATTTTAGTAGCCAGTTCATCGGAAGAAGAGCACTTCGATCACCTTCGGGCTCTCTTCCAGCGCTTGACCGAACACGGTGTCACATTCAACCCGACTATGTGCTAACTCGGCAAATCAAAGGTAGAATTCCCAGGTCACCTCGTTCCCTCGTCTGGTATCGAAGTTCTTTCTGATTAGTTTAAGCCAATTAAAGACTTCCCAGCTCCGACTTCATTTAAACGCCTCCGTCGATTTTGTGATTTGGTCAAATACTATCGACGCTTTTTTCCGTGCTGCGCTGAGCTAATGCCGCCTCTGACTGACCTACTCAGAGGGAATGAACGTAACTTCACTTCCCTTGAGACAACACAGACAGTCTTCGCCGAGCTCAAGGATGCTTTCTCCAAAATAGCTTCCTTGCTCATCCCGAATCCACTGCATCTCTTTCTATCAAGGCTGATGTCTCAGACGTCGCAGTAGGAGCCATCCTCCAACAACACGTTGGTGGGCAATGGCAACCCCTTGGGTTCTTCTCCAAGCGCCTGTAACCAGCGGAATCGCGCTACAGCACGTCTGGCAGAGAACTGCTCGCCATATATCTAGGCAGTCATCAAAATTTAGTGGAATGCTTCCATAGAGCTAAAAGCCTTGCTCTGCGCCTCATCCGACGGCAGCTGGAGCGAAAACCTTTCGCTCGTACTCTTAGTTATTCGCAACAGCATCAAAGCTGATTTGCAATGGGTACCAGCAGAGCTGGTTTACGGCAAAACGCTCAATTTGCCAGGAGAATTCGTTTCGCTACCCGCATCGTCGGGTATGCCTCCGCCTAACTTTGCGTCCACCCTAGCTCAACCCATGCGTCCACTACGCCCGACTCCGCCCCGTGAGCATAGAAAAGATGTGCAAATGCACAGCGAACTCTCTACCTGCACTCACGTCTTCCTTCGCACCGACGCACTTCGGCGCCCTCTCCAGCCTCCCTACACTAACCCTTTCAGTCCTGCAACGGACTCCGAAACATTTCACCTTAGACCAGAATGTACCGAACCACGGTGTCCATCGATCACCACAAAGTGGCTTGTTTTGACGAACCACTTGCAACACATCCTGATGCTATCACATAAGCACCCGCACCTGCGGTGACTTCCCGAGCACTGGATATCCCGAAACCCTCCGTTTCTACTGACACTCAACCTACCCCGCATCAACCCCAAGCAACCGACCGACACGGTAGACAGGTCAAACGTCCGGTCCGTTTTACAGATTTTGTAAAAGTTTGCTATTTCCATTAACGCGCATTTTTCGTCTGTAGTGGTAATTGTGAGTCTCATCCGCAAATATTTTTAAAAATCGATAAAAACCCAAAACATTTTGAAGACTTAAAAAGCAGTTTTGCTTTTTATCATGTATGCCATTTTCCCTCTCCGGTCTCAAGCCACTTCCCCTCACCCTACTTCACCTCCTCTGAGTTCTGCCTTCCAGAAACTCAACCACCGGAACTGCTCAGGCAACCCCCGAGTGAGTCGCCATTTGGTTCCACGCAACCCCCGAGTGACTCGGCAGCCGTCTTAAGGCCCCTTCCTGTTCAAAGGAACAATCAGTCGCCCTCGACCGCGGACGGCCACGACCGGAGTGGTCCACAATCGTCTGGCTACGCGTTGCCGACGCGGAAGCCCGGATTTCTTCGTGGGACCAGGAACGTGCATGGGAGTGAGGGGGGGGAGAGTGACATCTCCCAAGCAAATCGTCGGATGTGCAGCGGAGAGAATGTCCTGTCAGCCTTTATTCTGGACTAGCCAGTATTGTTGCAGTCCGACCAGCCCGCCCCGACGGCCCACCGATGATGCACACTGGTCCACACGATCATCATAAATAATAGATAACAAAAGCCTGGACTCAGCGAATTCCGCTACACACTCCATCCTGGAAGTCCGTGTTCCAGCCCATGCTACTATTCGCACCCATCCTCACCTCCTGTTTTCCCCACTGACAGCTCCATCGAAGGTTTTAAGTTTTCTCGGGGGAAGCCCTTGTAGTTTATCCGAAAACAAACTTTCAGTATTTTTCAACATTGGATTTTACTGTTGTTTTAACCTTCTAAACATCCACTTGTTTTACTGACGGCACTTCTGTTGATACAAATTGTTTTGTGAGTATCTTGCTGCACCATTTCTAGTTCTGGTTGATTCGCTTCCTACTTTTGTAGCCTGCACAATACCCCTTGGATTCAGTCGCCTCCAACTTCTATACTGTCCCGTATTTGACACTTCTCTTGCGTGTTATTGATTACCGACCGTTATCCCAGACGTCACCAAACAAACTTCATCTTACATTTAATTCTTTCTCTCTACTTACATATTGATTTCGTTTTGGGGCTTTATGCTTGTGACTTCTGCGAATCGATCGGTTTCTTCGGCGTATAGCGACTGTGCCTTTCAGATTGCTGATGGAGGATACTTGCTTTAGACGGAATTTGTGACGGTCAGGAACTCTGCGCAGCCTTTCTCATATGCGAGTTTTTCTACTCCTGACCAAATAAATCTTATGCCCTAGTTCATGCAACCGGATTCGCACACGCACACAGAATAAGCTTTTGTGACTCGCACATCTCCACAAACGTCTCACCTTCTGTATCCCGTCCGCTTTGGGAATTGTGGTATACGGGCAACTGGAGGTTTCTGCCACATTACGCGCGTATGTCTCCATGACACAAGATAGTCGACCAGCTTCTTCCATTAGATTTTGAACGGGGGCTCTGAAGGAACTCAGTATTCTCTTGTGAAACTGAAAGTAAGGGGACACAATCAGTTGAAGACAGTTGTTGTCTAGTTCTCTAATCATTTTACTGCAATCGGGTAGCTTAACAATAAACACCATGAATTAGTTTCTCACGTTTTCCGCATTTATAGGGTCTAACCATTCAACGCTAAACACGATGCACTGAACACGAGCAAAATTAGACAAGTACTGTGGGTTGATTACCATCCAAATCCGTTTAACTACGCGATGACATAGATCATTCGGACACTGGGGTAAAGCCAACTTGGTACTGCATGCGAATCCATCGCCGGGTACCATTTTGAATTCGAGCTTGATTTGATGTTATCTCTCATGGTTGGCGGCATCCAGTTCCGGATATGCCTGTCAGTGCGGCCTCCATAGGACAGCCATAGGACACCTACGCCTACACCGAGACCATGCATGGCTTACGCCGCACTAATTACAGCTCCATTTATACACCCTATGTACAATTTAAATCATAAGGAATAAGACCAGTGTACATCAGAAGGACCGGGTGGCATGTTTGTGGGAGCCACGTTTTATCAATGGAATCGGCCCAGACTTCTTCAACATCCACAGCAGCAACATTCTTGTCTATCTAGTTTGGGAACCATGTGTGCGAGATGTACACAAAGCGGTAGTCCGTTCCACACTGGATGGAAACACTCATTGAGCCTATCACGGCCACGAGGACCGTGAACCTCGTCCCCCCAGCAAATATTAGCAGTTTCCTGGAGTTAGTAATCCTGTTTGATGATGTTAGACAGGAGGCACCTTGTCAGATCACTCAGATCAAGGGCAACCACACCAGGGATATCAAACAGCAAATATACAATATCAAAGAAACTAGACACGCACACTGGACATTAAGTGTGCGGCAGAATAAAAAACGGGGCAATTGACCAAATGTTATCAATTCTGACATAGTGTGAGGGTGAACTTTGGAAAGTTAACATATGAGTCATGGAACACAAGGGGTGTTCAAACAGAAACGGAACTTTTCCTATGACGTCTTTATTACTCACTGCACAACATCTTAAGCACTTCGCTCCTCAAAGTGCCCTCTCTACTGGCAATACACCGTTCCCAACGATGCTTCCATTTTTGGACTGCCTCCTGGAACGCACTTTCTGGGATGGCGCACAGCTCCCTTGTCGTATTGTCCTGAATCTCCTATTTTGTTTGCAAACGACCTCCTTTCAAAATGCTTTTAAGTTTGGGAAACAGGAAAATGTCTGCAGGAGCTAGATCCGGGGAGTAACGTGGATGGGGCACACTGGGTATGTGGTGTTTTGCTAGGTAGCTGCGCACAAGGAGCGATGCATAAGTCATGATGCGACATCCAAGTGTGGTTTTCCCACTGTTCAGGCTTCTTCCTGTGCACAACCTCCCTCAAACATATAATACTTTGATCGCATGATCCTACGCTGATGCCTACTTCGTCAGCAACTTCTCGAACGTTTAAACAACGACTTCCATGGATCACAACATGAACTATCTCAACATGTTCATCGCCTGCTGATGTGAAAGGTCGCCCAGGCTTGGGATCGTCACCGACTGACATTCTAAAGCGTTGCCCACCGTGACCCGGTAACCAAAGGGGTAGTGGTGTGGGCTACTATTCCAATGGTCGCGGGATCGAGGTCTGCTGTCTCCACCTGATGAGATGAAATTACATCGAAACGCGTCGTGGTTGTGCAGTGTTTTCGGGTGGGCAACACCTAATTTCCATCGACATTCTAAAGGGTTCAAAACAATAAACCACTGCGTGCAACTCATAAAGTCCTCCCCGTATGCTTGGATAAGCAAGTGAAATGTCGCTGTAAAAGTTTTGCCACGTTTGTGGATCAATTTCACACACGCTTTGTTCTTCAAGTTCTTTCATTGTCTCTTTGGCAGTGATCCGACGAACAGCTTGTGCACGTGCTCACTTCAGCGGCAGTAGCTCCCCAACCAATAGTCAGAGCGATATGCGTCAACTGGCAGTTTGTTGTCTAAGCAAGACACCACATGCGTTCAGCAGCCGCAGAGGGCTCCCTCTGCCGTGGCCCCGTTATTTCAAAGTTCGGTTTCTTTTGAACAACCCTCGCAGCAACCGAATAACACCAAAACAATAAAAGCGCGCAGACTAAACAGGGAACATTCGGAGGATGAACAGAACTGAGCATATAAACTGACATGGGTTCAGTCATATCTAGTGTATTACGGAATGAGCGTAAATGCACATGACTCTACTCAAACTGCGGTGAAGAAGCACACTAAATGTCGCGTTGTGCGATTACGCAATAGACATGACTACACGTATTTGCTTGAGCCACATGGATCGCAGGCCACCTCCCAACAACGGGACCTTGGTGTGCTCGTACAGAGGGACGTCAACTGTTCAAAACCGGCTGAGATAGTGGCGGAAAGAGGCAACCAGCAAGTCGGCGTGCTGCAAAGAGACATTCGGGAGATTTGACGTATCAATCTTCCCAACGATGCACAATTCCTATATGCGGTCTCACGTTGAATACGCTACCCAACCCCGCCAAATTTAGTTGAAGCGTGATCTAAAGGCACTAGAGGCACCACAACGAACAGCAACAAAGAATGTAGAGGACCTGCACTACCACTCTTACTACCGAAGACCGAAGTTGCTAGGATTTTTCATCGGACGTTACCAAAGGCTGCGCCGAGATCTCATATTAGCGTACCAAATATGCAGTGACCCCAACCACGTATGCCACCATTTGCTGAAACTTAGCAAAAACATGCAGTTCAGGGGGTAATTGTTTGAAATTGAGAAACAATGTAGCCGTCTAGAATTTAGACAGAATTACTTTTTCCTTTAGCTTTGCCGATGCTGGAACACTGTCCCAGACTCAGTTGCATCCTCAATCACTTTGGACACCTTCAACAAACGCTTAAGTGTTGCCCTTAGCTCCCAGCACTTTGTTACCTAAACTACGCCAATTTGGATTACCTTAATCAGGCCCTTCTACAGGATTTGTGTGTCACATAGACTCAAGCAGGCGGTGCATTAGTGAGCGACCATACTTTACATATCTCACGCTTTAAATCAACGATCACAGCACCCTGTGTACTTCTGTATGCTTACGCTCGATTTTCACTTTACACTAACGTTATTTATCAACGCATTTATTTCGCTAGACACTCGGTAGACGACGCATATGTATTTCGAATTCCTTGTACTCACCCCTACCATCCTACGGAAGGTGTCAAGTACTTACTTTATCCCGTGATAAATCACTATTCATTGTTCATCAACCTCAACATGGGGAAGTGTTCTCACCCATGGTTGGCGGCATCCGGTTTCGGATTTGCCTGTCACTGTGGCCAGTCACAGGAAGCCTACGCCTACAGAGGGACCATGCGTGGCTTGCGATGCACCACCCACAGCTGCCACCACACACCCGATATCCAGTGTAAACACGAAGGAATAAGACCGGGAAGCATGCGTATGGGAGCCACATTTCATCAACGGAGCTGGCCCACACTCCTTCACAGGCAGTTTGCAATCAAACTACTGAGCTCAGCGAACACTCAGGCCACCAAACACAAGCAAGCTGTATTTGGGAATCAAGCGCACACAAGGCGGTGGCTGGACCGTAGTCCGCTCCACACTGAGTGCATGGAAACACTCTTTGATCCTAACACGGCCACAAGAACTGTGCACCCTGTCCCCTCCAGCAACGATCAAGTGTCTCCTGGAGCCAGTATGGACGAGGTAGTGGGTAATAGACAGGTAGGCACCTTGTCAGCATGCACATCAAGCGCAGCCACACCGGGGATGTCAAGCAACAGCCAATTACTTGAAACGACAAGATGAAATAAAATAAATCGAATAATGCATAGAGATAGGGTGACTTAACTCTTCGCTAAATTAGTATATGAAGTAAGTTGGTTATCAACAAATGCTCCATAAGTAAACAATGTCCACAAGTTATTTAAAAATGCTCCAAACGCAATAAAGTTAACGAAGATAAGCGCAATTAGCGTAATAAACCTGTGCAAGTTAAAAGAAGATGATCAGGTAGGCAAAACAAAACAAAGAAATTGGAATGAAATTTATCCAGCCTAAAAAGGCCTAGTTTAAGTTGGTTTAGCCCAACTACGGTGAAGAAGCATCAAGAATGCATCCATTCAGCCAATGAATCATACAAACAGGATAGTAGTTGGGATAAAACGATTAACATAAATTTCACCGCCAACAGACACCTGCCGAATCTGTGTTTACCTGCTTCCAATTTTCTTCGGTACTCTTTAACAACAGTGGTCTCTTCAACTCAATGTGAAGGAAATTGCAGCCATACCCTGATAACACCTAGTGTCTTACCTCTTGGTTGCAGTGTATCGTGGTACGTCACAAGTTCATGCATGGCGTGGCCATGCATAGAGGTGGGTTGCCCCAAAATCTTTCATTGGCAAAACGAAGCGACCAGCCTGACCACACCAGTTATCCGCATTCATTGTGGCTATTAGCGACTAGTGTTTCTATTGCAAGATACTGCCCACCGCTTCGGCTCCTTGTCGCGGTGCTGATATGTAACTCCGACGAATCAAAGGAGAATGAGAAGGTGCTGTGTCTCCAAGCTGTTTGCTGGTAGCGATATTTGTGTGGCATGATTTTCTTTTAGATACCATTTGTCCACAAGTCACGTGCATACATCGCTACTCACATTTCATATCTGTGGCCGCATGTTACTGACTTCTACCTTCTGCCATCGTGATTTGTAAATGTAACGTGGAGGAGTTACGCAGATAGATTACACTTGGGTAGTCTCTGTGAACCCTAATCTAGAACCACGAACTACTGTCCCCGGGGAACTTTTAATAGCTCAACAGTTTTGATCTCTCCTAACAGTCCTTACCAATGGCCAATGTGCCACAGAATGCCACAATTTATGTCGATGGGTGAGCTATGCCAAAAGTTGTGCGAAACCACTACAAAGTTAGTTCCTTACATCGCACCGTTTAGATGTGCACGCCATCTTCCAACGGA